CTGATACCGCCGTTTGTGGATGCATACATGCGGCGTGGGGGAGATGCCGCCTCCTTGCCTCCGTACTGATGCGGCGTAGCATTTCTCTACCGCTGCGCTCAGAGCTATATAACACAGCTATACGTTCTGTTCTGATGTATGGTGCAGAAACGTGGCCGATGACAACAAAACTTGAACATACAACCGAGATCCTGAACCGACAACACGTTGAAGAATGCATGTTGTCGTCATCGCATATGATGGTTTGGCCATGTGAAGTGAAGCGAAAACGATACAATAATTTCCGTTACTGAGCACCAGGTGCCTGACACCCGCCCAAGAGGTCGCCCAAAAAAAAACTCGTAGACTACACAAGAGGACTTGAAGACACTTGGTTTCAAGGAGACAGACGCAATGGATAGACCGGCTTGGAGACAGAAACTGATGAATGGAATAAAAAAGTCCGACCTATAACGGATGGAGACTATAAATGAGGATTGATTGATATCGATGATTCCTGTTTCTAATTTTATTGATAAGAGAAATTCCAAATGCCCGATGTTGAATATTTATTATCGGATGTCTTTGTTCTATGAATATTGATTCAGCTAGTCGTAAATTATAATGGCTGTTATTGTCTTTTAAGATTTCAACATTGTGGTCCAAGAAAAAACTGCGTCGGCATTTGTACGGATGGTGCTCTTGCAATAATGGGAAATGTTGAAGGTTTTGTGTCACTGGTGCGACAAACGAATCAAAATATCGTGGCCACCCATTATTTCATACACAGAAAAGCACTGGTTGCTAAAACAGTGAGAAAAGATATAAAATCAGTGCTGGACAAGGTAGTAAAAATTGATAATTACACAAAAATAAGACCTCTTAAGTGTCACTTGTTTGCCAAACTTTGTCAAAGCATGGAAGCGGATCATATCACATTCCTTCAACATACAGACGTACGTTGGCTGTATCGTGGAAAATTTCTGTTTTGGTGAAAACCTGAAGGAGTTTGAAAACGCTCTGAGCAACGAGAGCTGGTTTTCTAAAGTAACATATCGGGCTGATATATTTCAAGAACTCAACATTCTGAACAATGTTTTGCAAGGCAGAAATAAAAACATTTTGACTTCAAAACAAACGCTTTTCAGAAAAAAACTGACTGTTGCTGTGAAAGAAACTCGCAGCAGCTGAAAATTTGAAAATGTTTCCCAACGTTAAGCTCACCAACCACCAAGACATTCTGCCGTTCATCGTCAACCACTTGGAAAGTTTGTCCAGCAGTCTTAGCAAATACTTCTCATCAATTTTTGTTGACTAGTATGATTGGATAAGGAATACATTTATTGAACTTAAATCGTGCAAAGGACAATTTACTTTAAAAGAGAAAGAGAAACTGGCTAGCATTTCAAGTGACAAAACGCTTAAACTCAGACATGCAGATCTCAACATAGATACGTTTTGGTTGTTGGTTGAAAACGAGTACCCTGCAATTGCTAAGAAAGTTTTGCGATTTCTGTTGCTTTTTTCCACGTCATACATGTGCGAGTTGAAATTTTCGGCCATGAGCAACATCAAACACAAGAAACAAGAACGCCTTTTGTCTGTCAGAGAAGAACTTCGCGTCTGTCTATCCAAAACTCCGCCAAGAATACAGCTGCTATGCAGAATGCACCAAGCACCATGTTCACACTGAACATTTCTCCGTACTCGAATTAAATGTAAGACTTGTGGATAGGACTTGTAAATAGGACTTTAAATAGGACTGTAAAACTTGTAAATACTTCTGATTAATAGTAGCTAGCACAATCAGTGATCTGTATTTGTGTGCAAATCGCACGATTAGCAGACTAGTTTTCTGAGGTGTATGAGGAAAAACTTGCAGGCATGAAATGTTCTGTAGCAGAGTTGTTGACTTTTTGAAATCAAAATGGTCACCAACAGCTCAACTCATCTACTAGCATTTTTAAATGAAAAAAAATTGGTTGCTCGTTTTGAAGGAACATAAACGGTACCGGTACAGGTTCCGCCAGAAATCTAACGATACCAAAGGATTCCCCTAAAAAAAAAGTTGAAAAAACTGCGCTATAGTATTATTCATTAATTTTAATTTCTCGATAAATACTATAGCGATAGAATTTGAAAAAAATTTTATGCGTAATGGCCTCATACCTAATTCTATTTATAAACTTGTTGTGAAATGGGTTGTGGAATATGTTGTAAAAATATTTTTTGCAGTCGTCGATGCTAAATGATGGGGTTAAGCTGTTTGATGGGTTGAACATTTTTTTGCATGTTGACCAGAATTTGACTTTCAGTTGTTTTATTATGTTGTTAGTACAAACTTATGCTACTAACAAGACACCTTGTTGTGAGTTAAAATAAATAAAACAAATACAATTCAGGCGTAATAAAATATTATCTCTATTCCCACGTGAATTTCGAACCGTTTCGTTTACAAGCTATCAGGAAAAAGAGAAGAAGTCGAGAGAGAAGCAAAGACATAAAAATTAAGATAGATTAGGTAACATTGAAAATTGCAATGATCTTTAATAATTAATATATGAGATAGTTAATAAATGAATGTTTGATCCCTACAATGTCGACATGTTTCTCAGTTTTTGCATTTTTTATTAATAACAGTTTTGTTCTTATTTGTTTGCTTATTGTGCTGATTTTCATGTCGAAACTGTGGTCGTCGCGGCCAAGTAATTTTAACTGTTTTAGGTCTTTCTTCATGTTTTTGACTGTTTTATTGGGGTGTTGAGTTGTCGATAAATCTTGTGGCTTTACCGTGCCGTAGTTGGATGCAAAATAATTGTAGATCAGTGATTGGAATGAGTTGGTGAAATTGTTGATGTCGGATACATTTGGTAAGGACGTTCTCTGGAGTTGGAAGTATGTATTTGCTCATGTCCAATGTTTTAGGGTCTTAGGTATTTTTATTCCAATGAGAGGAGTTTCCATGATGTTGCTGTCCAACCTTTCAGGGAATGCTTGTTCGCGTTGTGGTGGTGGCGACAATTCCAAATTTTTGTCAGATTTCTCTGGAGTTTCTAGTGCATTCCTAAGGTTTTTAAACATTTTGCAAGTACGTTGGTGAAATTTCAAGCCCTTCTGACCCTTGCAACTCTTGCCACAACAATATGAAATTAAATTATTATCTAAATTAGTTAAAATATCGTTACTTTTAGAACTATTAAAAATGTTAGGAGATATTACTATATTATTTTTTGGTGAGCTGCGTGTATTAAAATTGTCATTATTAATCAACGTTGTTTTGGTGCACCACCAGGAGTGTCTTCCTACATTTACAAACTCTTTAAAACAATGTGGATATTTACCAGCGTTAACTGTTGAAATTATATTTAAAAGCAAAATAAAACTAAATAAATATTTAAAATTAGATTTTATTAAAACTAGCTTAACCGACAAAATTTTCCGCATCTTTACATTCAATTTTTATATTATTAAACTTTATAAAACCAAATTAAAGTAAGTAAAAACATTGAGCAGACTAAAATCGAAAGACTCTCATGCTTACACGATACGATAATAATAATAATAATAATAACATTTTTAAATATTGTAAAAATAATATTAATAATATGTAGTTAATTAAATAAATTAATTCGCGCTTCTTCTCGGCTGAGCGTTGATATTTACCTTAACAACCATGATATAAACAATCTTGCCGTTAAAATTTTGAAAATCGCGTTTTATATTGTTTAATGTTATTAAATTTATTTTATTCGTTTTCTGTTTTAAGTAATTTATATAAATTTTATATGTAAATTATTAATAAACTATTATTAAATTATAGAAATATTAAACACCCACTTTGCTTCCATGTCAACGGACCAGTCCTACAAAATTCCACCAACAAAAGTTACTACAATCAATAGTTATCAACATCAACAATTTACACCATACTCCGTCCTGCACATGCTAACTAAGGCATGCCCATCCGGTACAAGTCGAGACGGTCTACCAGCATGGTTTCTACAAATCATCGCTCCATTCATCTTCAGCACCTTAAGTTCACTCTACATCACTGCTTAATTCACTCATTCATCCAATCACAATGGAAATCCAGCACAATCCATCCAATTCCTAAAACAAAACACCCATCATCACCAATAGATTATCGCCCAATATCTATCACCCCCATTCTCTCACGTATTCTAGAAAAATTCATTGTTAGGTCATTCATCTATCCATGTTTCAACCATCCATCTATCAAACCACTATTACAAGACCAGTTTGCATTTCGCCCAACAGGCTCATCTACATCCGCCATCATTTCTCTTATTTCCACAATAACATTTTTCCTTAAAAATAATAATTATGTTCATCTTATTGCCCTCGATTTCTCTAAAGCTTTTGACACTCTCAATCACTTCTCACTTTCAAATAAGCCTCTCTTCCACTACCTGACAACATTTACAATATCATAATTAATTTCCTATCTAATAGGAGTCATTCTACTCTTTTTAGCTCTACTCTTTCATCTACTCTACCTATTAACTCTAGTGTAGTTCAAGGTTCTGTCTTTGGTCCATCTACCTTTATCATCAACGCTTCTTCTCTCAAAACTTTTCATAGCTCTAATCAAATCATCAAATACGCTGACGACGCCTACCTTCTCATCCCATCATCTAACTCAAACACTATCCAATCAGAACTCGACTCATTAACCACATGGTCAAAACAATGCAACCTTTCACTTAATCTCAATAAATCATTCGATCTCATCATTCACAATAGCCGTAAAAAAATAACATTACAAGACCTTCATCACAAGGCATCTCAAACATATTAGCACTTAAGAAAACTTTATCATTACTAAACAAGTTTTTACTTATTGATCACCTCACTTTTATCGATCACCTAACTAACTCACTAAGTCATCATTTAGTATATTAATAAGTCATCAAACATATTAATACTCATTAAAACTTTTTTTAAAAGGTACAAACGGACATAGTCTGAATGAAGTGTTAGAAAAACTTTCTCGACTTAATAGAATATTTTTAACAATTCCTGTAACAACATGCAGCTCAGAAAGATCATTCTCCGTCCTTCGGCGCTTAAAAACTTATTTACGTTCAACAATCAGTCAGCTAAGATTAAACCATTTGGCTATACTTTATTGCTATAAAGAACGCGCCCAAAATCTTTCAATTATACAAAGAATTTACTTCTCAGAATGATTTGCGCAGAAGATCGTTTGCAACAACTGTATTTAAACTAGATTTTTTAATGTTCGTGATATTTAAAAATAGAATTTTACTATTTACATTATATTGTTTAAACTTTTGACTTTTAAATTGATAAAAAATTAAAAAGAAGTTTAAATTACAGTTTGACTAAAAACAATAAAAATTAAAATTTCGGCAACTTTGAGACCCAAATAATTTGAACAACTCGCGCCTATGGTTCTTGTTACCGTATATTATACTAGTATTGTTTACCGATATCTCTCGTTTTCAATTCTCTGTGTGTGCTAATTGCTTACATTCTGCTTTGTCCTATGCAAAGTGCTTTTGTTCTGCTTTGTCTTGTCAGTTTTTTTATATCTTTGTCTGGTTCGTTTATTATATCTTTGTTCTGTTCATTCTCTTTGCTTGTAAAGTCTTTCAATATTGTTTTTAATCGATAATTATATATATATATATATATATATATATATATATATGTATATATATATATATATATATATATATATATATATATATATATATATATTTACCTTTCGATAAAATACAAATACCTGCAAATGTTTGAAAATGTCAAACTGATATTCGAATACGCATTTAATGAAAAACTAGAGGTTATTATTATGAAAAAAACATCACCGAATTTTTCATTTTACCTTTGTAAATTTCTTCTGAGACATCTCTCACATTGTTGATAGATTGAAGCTTTTCGATGGAAGATTTTGTAACGGTTGGCTTTAATATAGTAAAAAGATTATTTTATTCATGAATGACTTACACATATATGATTGACTACAAGTAAATCTATACAAACAAACATGCGCGCGCATAATTTTAA